GTGTGACACATGAACCTGACAAGGACATGACTTCATTGTCCAGCGCTAGCAGACGCTAACCGCCATTTCCGCTTCACAGATAGAGCCTTTTCACATAGGAAACAGCTCAGTCCATGACTCAATACAAGACAAGCACATCATTAGTTTTGACCCATTATTGTGCACATACATTACATGACCAGAAGTATGTGGACACAGGCTCGTCGAACATCTCATTCCAAAATCATGGGCATTAATATGGAGTTGGTCCCCCTTTTGCTGCTATAACAGCCTCCATTCTTCTGGGAAGGCTTTCCACTAGATGTTGGAACATTGCAGAGGGGACTTGCTTCCAATCAGCCACAAGAGCATTAGTGAGGTCAGGCACTGATGTTGGGCGATTAGGCCTGGCTCGCAATCGCCGTTCCAATTCATCCCAAAGGTGTTCGATGGGGTTGAGGTCAGGGCTCTGTGCAGGCCAGTCAAGTTCTTCCACACGGATCTCGACAAACCATTTCTGTATGGACCTCGGTTTGTGCACAGGGGCATTGTCATGCTGAAACAGGAAAGGACCTTCCCCAAACTGTTGCCACAAAGTTGGAAGCACAGAATCATTTAGAATGTCATTGTAGTGTTAAGATGTCCCTTCACTGGAACTAAAGGGCCTAGCCCGAACCATGAAAAACCGCCCCAGATCATTATTCCTCCTCCACCAAACTTTCCCGTTGGCACTATGCATTGGGGCAGGTAGCGTTCTCCTGGCATCCGCCAAACCCAAATTCGTCCATCGGACTGCCAGATGGTGAAGCGTGATTCATCACTCCAGAGAACGCGTTTCCACTGCTCCAGAGTCCAATGGCGGTGACGCTTGGCATTGCGCATGGTGATCTTAGGCTATGGAAACCCATTTCATGAAGCTCCAGACGAACAGTTCTTGTGCTGATGTTGCTTCCAGAGGCAGTTTGGAACTCAGTAGTGAGTGTTGCAACCGAGGACAGATTATTTTTTGCGCGCTATGTGCTTCAGCACTCGGCAGTCCCATTCTTTGAGCTTGTGAGGCCTACCACTTCGCACCTTTCCACTTCACAATAACAGCACTTACAGTTGACTGGGGCAGCTCTAGCATGGCAGAAATTTGACGAACTGTATTGTTGGAAAGGTGGCATCCTATGACCGTGACACGTTGATTTCACTGAGCTCTTCAGTACGGGCCATTCCACCACCAATGTTTGTCTATGGAGATTGCATGGCTGTGTGCTCGATTTTATACACCTGTCAGCAACGGGTGTGGCTAAAATAGCCGAACCCACTAATTTGAAGGGGTGTCCACATACTTCTGACCATGTAGATTGACTTCTGTTGTATTCATCCCTTTCAGTGCTTTAATTGTTGGTACTCTACTGTACTAACTACGCCATTCCTTACTGAGGTAAAAAATTAAGTATGTGTTTGATAAAATGTAACTGTTCTCATACCGACTGTCAAAACCTGTTGTTTAGTGCTTTCCTGTTGAGCTTGGGAAACTATCAGAGATATAGACAACCTCCTGACTTCTGTTGTATTCATGCTACTAGTACAGTAGCATGTTCACACATCATGAGCAGTACCTTACCCACTGAGCACAGACGTCAGTTCAACATATAGTTTTGAGTTACATTTGGTTGTCAACTAACATGAATTCAACACAAAATGTCACCATGTCATTGGATTTAGGTTAAAAGTTGGGTGAAAAATCTAATTAGTTTTCCACGTTGATTCAACATCATCACATTGCATTTTTTGGTTGAAATGATGTGGAAACAACATCGATTCAACCAGTCCTTGCCCAGTGGGTACCCACTGGGCACACCACGTAATCTCAACGTGGAGAATTCTAGAAATCGTCAGGGAGGTACTCAGATCCAGACTAATTGCGGAGAAGAAACTAACGTTAGTGGGCGTGGCGTAGTGTTTGGCTGGAGCAAGGAGTCTGGGTAGCCAGGAAACAAAATCTCCACAGACCTGCAACATTTGCATGCTATCTTGAACGCGCACACTTTCTATGATTACATAAGAAAACATTTACTGTTACAGTACCCTCAAAATGTGGCCAGGGATGACACTCATTTTAAAGTTAAAAGGGACTAAATCAAATCAAACTTTAAATGCACTTTAAATAGTTTTTTTACTAACTTGTAGATTCCATTTGAAATCAATCAAAGCTTGAATCCTGTGTTGAATTTAAACAATAGCTGTTGATGACTTTCCAAATGCTATATAGGCCTAAATAGTGATGATATATGAATCCTAAAGTATAGCTACATTTAATTTGCTCTGTTAAACCTACCCTTTGGAATGACTTTGATAGCAACAGTGAATCTATTAAGTGTCGATTTCTTAACAATCATTCTCACCAGTAGTAACAGTTGGTGACAAATATTTAGCAGGTCCGGGCTTGGTTAAAAATCCTTAAGAGTCTATTGACGCACCCGTGCGTCAATCTAATGAACAAAACAAAAATCCCTATCAAAATCCATCAGTTTAAGTTAGATATCTGTTTTTCTGCATCTCAATCCACTGCATCCGCCTATGTCGGCCTTCCGCCTCTGCAGTAGAAAATGGCTGTCAGACCAGGACACATCCCGAAAATCAGTCTTCTCACAAAAACGTCTGAACGGTTTGGCCTAGTAAGTAATATAACCACTCTATGGAAAGATGAGACTCTCACGAACACAATGGTTTTGCTCTACGATCCCCACAAGTGTCACAGGACCGTCTAAAGGTAACCCGGTAGAAGTAAAAAAAAAATTAATGGATGTATGGAGGTAGTTTTGTGCCAACAAAAATAGGGGTTAAATGTGTTTTCAAAAAACACAAATATTTCCTAAGCTTTCTTCTATCTCCTAGAAATAGGACAGACACATCAAAACCTTATTCCTTATGTTTATTTTTTGTCTGTCTGTTTTCCCATTTATGAATGTGTTATTCAATGCGTTTCTATGGGCTATATTAGTGAAGACCAAATTCAATATCTATTAAATCATTTTACAATAGTTTTTGGGGGATACCTACAGGGGTCCTACATTTCAAAATCAAATAGCTAAATGATCCATGGTATGACCATCTTAAAACAATTCCATATGTTAGCTTAGTAGAACCCCAGTAGGAGGTGCTGCCCAGCCTATTGTTTTTTTCTTATAGCAGATAAAAGGTACAAATTCAACATATTGGTTGAAATTTCACCCTCATAAAAGTTGATTACTTTTTTCAAATCCAATGTATTTTCCACGTCACAATAAGTTGACAAATTACATTGAAACAACGTTGACTTAACCAGTTTGTGCCAAGTGGGTACAGAGTCTAGTGGTTATGGTAACATATGGACACATGCATACACACGTGCGTGCCCACACACACAAAACATCAGTGCATTGCAAGAAGGTGTCAGAGGTATTACATGGATGCAGAGAGAGACAGACAGACACCCTCCCTCCTCTCACAGTGTGTAAGCCTGGCTCAACAAAACATCGTAAAGAGAAATCATACTAATCTTACTTTCAGTCCTACTCTAGTTTCATGGTGGAACTGTTGTTGTTGTTGTTGTAATTTTACACTGGTAAAAAAATCATTATCGCAAAATAAACAAAAGTAGCATAACTTTACACTGTACAGCACAGTATAGACTGGAATGTAGGCAAGTTCATTTGAGAATCACATACGATAAAACATGATTTGATAATGAGAGATGGTAGGAGGAGTTTTGGGAGTTTCTTCCACTTCCATCAGAGTGCTGAGGAATCCATTTAGATGAATCCTCCTCTTCCTCAGTCTGATAGTCTCTGGTAAGGAGGGTTCAGAGGGCGATACCATAGTCCCATAGTCTGTCAGGGAGCTCAGTCCCTCAGTCCTATTATAGTCCCACATTTACAAGGAGAATCCCACTGAGTTACACGATGCACCGACACACATCAGCATGGCAAAGGAACACGAGGTACAACAGTGGCAGAGGGAGAGAGAGAGACGCAGCATGGTCTGAACCTACTTGACAGACCGCTTTGTTAGATTTTTGTCACATTTATATAAAATATGGCAATTACATAGAGTACCACAAACCATCAAAGGAACCTTGAATGGGAAGGACTTAATCATAAAAAAATAAAACAAACCGGTTTGGTCATAAGTGCATCACTTAATTAAACTCAAGAGCTCTGTGACAAACGTGTAGCCATCTAGAGGATGTCATGGTAGAGGAAACTCCATGGCCATTCTAGGCTATCCATGTCTTATGAAAAGGTCATTTTTTGCAACTGAATTACTGTACTACAATACCGTTTTTTATTGTAAATTCACTTCTCTAGCTCCTAATATGGTTGGGAACTAACATGCTTTCTACCTAAACTCAAGATTCTTAGGAAGACACACTTAGGACTTTAGAGGAGTGTCACATAAAGATGCACTTGTTTGCACTTACATATGCATTGTTTAGTCATATCTATTTGGTTCATATCAAGTGTCTCTAGATAGAACCCTAAAATGTACATAATGTATCACCTCATACCAAGAGTTCACCTTAGTCTTCAATTTCCTTTTAAGCGCTTACACTTCACACAACATTCCTAATTTGATTGCCTAAAACTACATTAAGTAAATACAAATACAATTTCAATATAAAAATAGTTGTGGACGTACGCTTTTCATTTATCCCCCATTCAGAAACACTTACCAATCGGAGCACAGTCAACACATTTTAAAAGACTAAAAGAAAACGAGAACTAACAAGAAAAGAGGCTTGCGGTTTTAGCTGACAACACTATCAACAGATGAGGTGGGGGGAGTATGACCACATAGCAGTGTTAGGCTTACCTGTTGTTGCCTCCCATGATGGGTTCTGAATAATGATTACATTTAAAATGACATGGACTTTATGGCTATATACTGAAAATATACATTCCAATATTTATATAGAACTATCTTAAAGATACAAATGTGCAAAATTTGTAAACAAATGAGATCCTTGGTGTAGTTGGTAGGAGGGTGCTCAGTCACAGCCTGGTGGGCTCCTCGTCACTGTCGCTGCAGTTCCCACAACAGTCCTGACATGGGGCGATACAGAGCAGACATTTATCAGGAGGCCCAATGAGAAGTTGATGAGGAAAACATTGGAGCATTGATAAGGAGACAGGACACCAATATGTAAGCTTCAGGAGCATGATGTACTACAGTACCCATACTGCTCGGTGTGAGATCTTACACAGAGCATGGTGGGTGATGTAGTACATAACATTATGCTACAATAGGTGTATTCTGGTTTATCAAAAAATCCCTGTAGTCAATAAGAATACATACACCTACAGCCAAATAACATACATAGCCCTATCAATCATAAGATACAATGTAGAGTCAATGACACAAACAACACTGAGGCTTTCGGTTTAATAAGGTTGAGGAGCTCACCTGTCTCCCAAAGAGCCTCTGCAGCAGCCCCTGTTTAGGTGGTGGCGAGGGCTGCCCTCTCCAGTCCAGGTCCGGGGGAACTGTCCCGTCCGTGTGAAACACATTGAGCTCCTGAAAGCACTCAGACTCGATCATCTGGAAACAGAAGAAACAACATTGATCACAACATCAAACCTCAAATCCATCGTTACACAGCTTCTTTGATAAAGGGGCATATCAAGGTAAAAGGGGACTTTGAGATACGTACCAAATGGCACCCTATTCCCTACACAGTGCACTACTTTTGACCAGAGCACTATGAGCCCTGGTCAAAAGTAGTGGACTACATATGGAATAGGGTGCTGTTTGGGGCAGACCCCAAGTGTTTTTTGACAGGCTACTGACCAGCACATCAGTATGATAAAAGTTAACGCCATCTTGATAGGACGGGGAAGTGAAAGCATCTAAAAATAGAGCTCATTTGCCCATAGTGTCTTTGTCGGACATAGCTGATAGGAAAATAATTGACTGACACTCTTCGTCTTCGAAATGATTAAAAGTGTGTGTGGTGTTTTAAAACAGGCTGATGACAACTCAAACCACGGCAGTCATTTTTTGTGCAGGTTGATTCCTTTTGGTGTGTGTGTGTGTGACCTCTGACCTCCATCTGCCAGGGGATGGACACGCTGCCTGTGGACACTTTACAGTAGAAGGAGTCATCTTTGGGCTCCAACTCCACCCCCTTGACCGTGGAGAACTGCTCGATGTCCAGCACGTCCTTACAGTAAATGGCCTGGGGCTGGGGAAGCAAACAACATTGTATGTCTACTGTACATCATGTGTTGCATGCACTGTACATTAATGTAATCATGTGCTCTGACAATGCCTTCTTAATTACTCTTGAGGGTATTAATAAGGTCATATGGTATATACAGTGGGTATCTTAAGTATTCATCTCCCTTGGATTTCTTCACATTTTATTGTGTTACAAAGTGCGATTAAAACTGATTTAGTTGTCAACGATCTACACAAAATACTCTGTAATGTCAAAGTGGAAGATTTTTTTTTTTATATGAATGAAAAATACAACACTAATATACAAAAGTAGTGGATTCGGCTATTTCAGCCACACCCGTTGCTGAGAGACGTATACAAATCGAGCACACAGCCATCTCCAAAGACAAACATTGACAGTACAATGGCCTTACTGAAGAGCTCAGTTACTTTCAATGTGGCACCGTCATAGGATGCCACCTTTCCAACTAGTCAGTTCGTCAAATTTCTGCCCTGCTAAAGCTGCCCCGGTTAACTGCAAGTGCTGTTATTGTAAAGTGGAAACGTCTAGGAGCAACACCAGCTCAGCCGCGAAGTGGTAGGCCACACAAGCTCACAGAACGGGACCGCCGAGTGCTGAAGCGCGTAAAGATAATTTGTCTTCAGTTGCAACACTCACTACCGAGTTCCAAACTGCCTCTGGAAGCAACATCAGCACAATAACTGTTCGTCTGGAGCTTCATGAAATTGGTTTCCATGGCCGAGCAGCCGCACACAAGGCTGAAATCACCATGCGAGATGCCAAGCGTCGGCTGGGGTGGTGTAAAGCTCGCCGCCATTGGACTCTGGAGCAGTGGAAACGCGTTCCCTGGAGTGATGAATCACGCTTCACCATCTGGCAGTCCGACGGAAGAATCTGGGTTTGGGGGGATGCCAGGAGAACGCTACCTGCCCCAATGCATAGTGCCAACTGGAAAGTTTGGTGGAGGAGGAATAATGGTCTGGGGCTGTTTTTCATGGTTCAGGCTAGGCCCCTTAGTTCCAGTGAACGGAAATCTTAACACTACAGCATACAATGACATTCTAGACAATTCTGTGCTTCCAACTTTGTGGCAACAGTTTGGGGAAGGCCCTTTCCTGTTTCATCATGACAATTCCCCCATGCACAAAGCGAGGTCCATACAGAAATAGTTTGTCAAGACCGGTGTGGAAGAACTTGACTGGCCTGCACAGAGCCCTGACCTCAACCCATCGTACACCTTTGGGATGAATTGGAACGCCGACTGCGAGCCAGGCCTAATCGCCCAACATCAGTGCCCAACCTCACTAATGCTTGTGGCTGAATGGAAGCAAGTCCCCGCAGCAATGTTCCAACATCTAGTGGAAAGCCTTCCCAGAAGAGTGGAGGCTGCTATAGCAGCAAAGGGGGGGACCAACTCCATATTAATGCCCATGATTTTGGAATGAGATGTTCGACGAGCAGGTGTCATGTAGTGTACCGTGATTAGATAAGTATTCACCCCCCTGAGTAACGTTAGAAACACCTTTGGCAGTGATTACAGCTGTGAGTCTTATTGGGTAAGTCTAAGAGCTTTGCACACCTGCATTGTGCAGTATTTGCCCATCATTCTTTTCAAAATTCTTCAAGCAAGCTCTGTCAAGATGTACATTTAGATTTTATATAAACAAATAAGATTAAAGTTCATATCATTTGTATTTCTTATCAAAATGAAAATAATCCAATAAATACATTTACTCAATAAAATTGTATATTTTAAATTAGCTTTCTCAAAAACGTTTGTAACGTTTGTATATTGTTCCATATAATAAATCGGTATTGAAATATTTTGTTGTTGTTGATATTTTGCTGACCCCAAAGCAGTTCTCCCGCGACCCCACTAGGGGTCCCGATTTTGAATTCCACTGCTTTGGTGCCTTGTCGCATACAGGATGCAAGTAAAACAAATATTTAAAAAATGTACATCTTATTTTCACTCTGTCATTTAGGTCATTATTGGAGTCACTACAATGTTGTTGATCCACTGTCGGAGCTAGAAGCACAAGCATTTCGCTACACCCGCTATAACATCTGCTAAACACGTGTATGTGACAAATAACATTTGATTTGATTTGATCCATCCTCAGTTTCCTCACATCATAGCCATTGAATTCCGGAGCCGTTTTAAAATCACCAAGGGCCTCATGGTGACAGCCCTGAGCAGTTTCTTTATGAAATTGTGAAAATAATAATAGTGTTTTAGTGTAAAAGCGGTTTGAAAAGACCACCTGAAATTTCATCCTGTTTTGGTGGGATGGAGTTTTGGCCTGCCTGGTGATGTCGTATAATTTAATAGACCAATAACAAAGAGTTTCAAACCTTTGCCAATAACAGCTTGTTTTCAGATTACATATCCCGGCCATAATCTTGTCCAATTAGGCCCCTCACTCAGGCCACTCCCAGCCAGTCCTAGCAAAATTCTTGCTTGAGAAATTGCTCTTTGCTAAGAAGCTATTTTTGTTTATTTTAACCATTTCAATTTTAAAAAATAACAGTAAGGTACTTAATTGTTACCCAGAAATGATTTGATACTGAGATAAAAACAGCTGCATTTGGCCTTTAAAAGAGATATTCAATGTCGGATTTGTTATTGTTACCCATCTACCAATCACTGCCCTTCTTTATGAGGCTTTCGAAAAGCTCTCTGGTCTTTAAAGTTGAATCTGTGTTTGAAATTCAATATACAGTGCATTCGGAAAGTCTTCAGACCCCTCGCTGTTTTCCACATTTTGTTAAGTTCCAGCCTTATTAAAAAATTGATTAAATTGTACTTTTTTTCTCATTGATCTACACACAATACCCAATAATGACGAAGCAAAAACAGGTTTTTAGACATTTTTGCGAATAATAAAATATCACATTTACATACAGTGGGGAGAACAAGTATTTGATACACCGATGATTTTGCTGTTTTTCCTACTTACAAAGCATGTAGAGGTCTGTATTTTTTATCATAGGTACACTTCAACTGTGAGAGACGGAATCTAAAACAAAAATCCAGAAAATCACATTGTATGATTTTTAAGTAATTCATTTGCATTTTATTGCATGACATAAGTATTTGATACATCAGAAAAGCAGAACTTAATATTTGGTACAGAAACCTTTGTTTGCAATTACTGAGATCATACGTTTCCTGTAGGTCTTGACCAGGTTTGCACACACTGCAGCAGGGATTTTGGCCCACTCCTCCATACAGACCTTCTCCAGATCCTTCAGGTTTCGGGGCTGTCGCTGGGCAATACGGACTTTCAGCTCCTTCCAAAGATTTTCTATTGGGTTCAGGTCTGGAGACTGGCTAGGCCACTCCAGAACCTTGAGATGCTTCTTACGGAGCCACTCCTTAGTTGCCCTGGCTGTGTGTTTCGGGTCGTTGTCATGCTGGAAGACCCAGCCACGACCCATCTTCAATGCTCTTACTGAGGGAAGGAGGTTGTTGGCCAAGATCTCACGATACATAGCCCCATCCATCCTCCCCTCAATACGGTGCAGTCGTCCTGTCCCCTTTGCAGAAAAGCATCCCCAAAGAATGATGTTTCCACCACCATGCTTCACGGTTGGGATGGTGTTCTTGGGGTTGTACTCATTCTTCTTCTTCCTCCAAATACGGCGAGTGGAGTTTAGACCAAAAAGCTCTATTTTTGTCTCATCACACCACATGACCTTCTCCCATTCCTCCTCTGGATCATCCAGATGGTCATTGGCAAACTTCAGACGGGCCTGGACATGCGCTGGCTTGAGCAGGGGGACCTTGCGTGCGCTGCAGGATTTTAATCCATGACGGCGTAGTGTGTTACTAATGGTTTTCTTTGAGACTGTGGTCCCAGCTCTCTTCAGGTCATTGACCAGGTCCTGCCGTGTAGTTCTGGGCTGATCCCTCACATTCCTTATGATCATTGATGCCCCACGAGGTGAGATCTTGCATGGAGCCCCAGACCGAGGTTGATTGACCGTCATCTTGAACTTCTTCCATTTTCTAATAATTGCGCCAACAGTTGTTGCCTTCTCACCAAGCTGCTTGCCTATTGTCCTGTAGCCCATCCCAGCCTTGTGCAGGTCTACAATTTTATCCCTGATGTCCTTACACAGCTCTCTGGTCTTGGCCATTGTGGAGAGGTTGGAGTCTGTTTGATTGAGTGTGTGGACAGGTGTCTTGTATACAGGTAACGAGTTCAAACAGGTGCAGTTAATACAGGCAATGAGTGGAGAACAGGAGGGCTTCTTAAAGAAAAACGAACAGGTCTGTGAGAGCCGGAATTCTTACTGGTTGGTAGGTGATCAAATACTTATGTCATGCAATAAAATGCAAATTAATTACTTAAAAATCATACAATGTGATTTTCTGGATTTTTGTTTTAGATTCCTTCTCTCACAGTTGAAGTGTACCTATGATAAAAATGACAGACCTCTACATGCTTTGTAAGTAGGAAAACCTGCAAAATCGGCAGTGTATCAAATACTTGTTCTCCCCACTGTAGGTATTCAGACCCTTCACTCAGTACTTTGTTGAAGCACCTTTGGAAGCGATTACAGTCTCGAGTCTTCTTGGGTATGACACTACAAGCTTGGCACACCTGTATTTGGGGAGTTTCTCCCATTCTTCTCTGCAGATCCTCTCAAGCTCTGTCAGGTTGGATGGGGGGGCGTCGATGCACAGCTATTTTCAAGTCTCTCCAGAGATGTTCAATAGGGTTCAAGTCTGGGCTCTGGCTGGGCCACTCAAGGACATTCAGAGACTTGTCCCGAAGCCTCTCCTGCGTTGTCTTGGCTGTGTGCTTAGGGTCATTGTCCTGGTGGAAGGTGAACCTTCGCCCCAGTCTGAGGTCCTGAGTGCTCTGGAGCAGGTTTCCATCAAGGATCTCTCCGTACCTTGCTCCGTTCATATTTCCCTCGATCCTGACTAGTCTCCCAGTCCCTGCCACTGAAAAACATCCCCACAGCATGATGCTGCCACCACAATGCTTCACCGTAGGGATGGTGCCAGGTTTCCTCCAGACGTGACACTTGGCATGCAGGCCAAAGAGTTCAATCTTTGTTTCATCAGACCAGACAATCTTGTTTCTCATGGTCTGAGAGTCCTTTAGGTGCCTTTTGGCAAACTCCAAGTGTGCTGTCATGTGCCTTTTACTGAGTGGCTTCTGTCTGGCCACACTACCATACAGGCCTGATTGGTGGAGTGCTGCAGAGATGGTTGTCCTTCTGGAAGGATCTCCTATCTCCAAAGAGGATCTCTGGAGCTCTGTCAGAGTGACCATCTGGTTCTTGGTCACCTCCCTGACCAAGGCCCTTCTCCACCAATTGCTCAGTTAGGCCAGCTCTAGGAAGAGTCTTGGTGGTTCCAAACTTCTTCCATTTAAGAATGATGGAGGCCACTGTGTTCTTGGGGACCTTCGATACTGCAGATTTGTTTTGGTACCCTTCCCCAGATCTGTGCTTCGACACAATCCTGTCTCGGAGCTCTACGGACAATTCCTTCAACCTCATGGATTGGTTTTTGCTCTGACATGCACTGTCAACTATGGGACCTTATATAGACAGGTGTGTGCCTTTCCAAATCATGTCCAATCAATTGAATTTACCACAGGTGGACTCCAATCAAGTTGTAGAAACATCTCAAGGATGATCAATGGAAACAGGATGCACCAGAGTCTCATAGCAAAGGGTCTGAATACTTATGTAAATAAGGTATTTAAAAAAAATATATATATATTTTTTTTTACATTTGCAATAATACAAACCTGTTTTTGCTATGGGTTATTGTGTGTAGATTGATGAGAAAAATATATATTTTATCAATTTTAGAATAGGGCTGTAACGTACAAAATGTGAAAAAAGGGAAGCGGTCTGAATACTTTCCGAATGCACTGTATATACACTACCAGTCAAACGTTTGGACACACCTACTCAGGTTTTTCTTTATTTTCACTATTTTCTACATTGTAAAATAATAGTGAAGACATCCAAACTGTGAAATAACACATTGAATCATGTAGTAACCAAAACAGTGTTAAACAAATCAAAATATATTTTATACTTGAGATTCTTCAAAGTAGCCACCCTTTGCCTTGATGACAGCTTTGCACACTCTTGGCATTCTCTCAACCAGCTTAATGAGGAATGCTTTTCCAACAGTCTTGAAGGAGTTCCCACATATGCTTAGCACTTGTTGGCTGCTTTTCCTTCACTCTGCGGTCCAACTCATCCCAAACCATCTCAATTGGGTTGAGGTCAGGTGATTGTGGAGGCCAGGTCATCTGATGCAGCACCATCACTCTCCTTGGTCAAATAGCCCTTACACAGCCTGGAGGTGTGTTTTGGATCATTGTCCTGTTGAAAAACAAATGATAGTCCCACTAAGCGCAAACCAGATGGGATTGCGTATCGCTGCAGAAGGCTGTGGTAGCCATGCTGGTTAAGTGTGCCTTGAATGTCACCAGCAAAGCACCCCCACACCACCACACCTCCTCCTCCATGCTTCACGGTGGGAACCACACATGTGGAGATCATCCTTTCACCTACTCTGCGTCTCACAAAGACACGGCGGTTGGAACCAAAAATCTCAAATTTGGACTCATCAGACCAAAGGACATATTTCCACCGGTCTAATGTCCATTGCTCATGTTTCTTGGCCCAAGCAAGTCTCTTCTTTTTATTAGTGTCCTTTAGTAGTGGTTTCTTTGCAGAAATTCGACCATGAAGGCTTGATTCACACAGTCTCCTCTGAACAGTTGATGTTGAGATGTGTCTGTTACTTGAACTCTGTGAAGCATTTATTTGGGCTGCAATCTGAGGTGCAGTTAACTCTAATGAACGTATCCTCTGCAGCAGAGGTAACTCTGGATCTTCCATTACTGTGGCGGTCCTCATGAGAGCCAGTTTCATCATAGCGCTTGATGGTTTTTGCGACTGCACTTTAAGAAACGTTCAGAGTTCTTTACATTTTCCGGATTGACTGACCTTCATGTCTTAAAGTAATGATGGACTGTTGTTTCTCTTTGCTTATTTGAGCTGTTGTTGCCATAATATGGACTTGGTCTTTTACCAAATAGGGCTATCTTCTGTATACCACCCCTACCTTGTCTGTCACAACACAACTGATTGGCTCAAACGCATTAAGAAGGAAAGAAATTCCACAAATTAACTTTTAACAAGGCACATCTGTTAATTGAAATGGATTCCAGGTGATTACCTCATGAAGGTGAGAGAATGCCGAGTGTGCAAAGCTGTCATCGAGGCAAAGGGTGGCTACTTCGAAGAATCTCAAATATAAAATATATTTTGATTTGTTTAATACTTTTTTGGTTACTACATGATTCCATGTGTTATTTCATAGTTTTGAAGTCTTTACTACTTTCTACAATGTAGAAAATATTACAAATAAATAAAAACCCTTAAATGAGTAGGTGTGTCCAAACTTTTGACTGGTACTGTATCTAAACAATGCATTATGGATGATGAGGTCTGTACAGTTAACAGATTGGACCACACAGTGTGTTTCCTTACATCAGGGGTGAACGGGGCCTTCAGCCTGCCAGCCTTCAGCCTTTTAAAGTTGATGGATCGGAAGATGGGGTGGGCCTTCACCTCCGTAGCACCCTCCCCCTGGCAGCCCAGCCTCTCTCTGGGCTCTTTGGCCAGCAGCTGGGCGGAGACAAGAGTGAGTGACAGCAGTGTTACTAAGTAAAAAAAGCAAATATTTTATACTTTAAACTGTTGAATGATGCACTGATCTGCTGTATAGACCCAGTCGGTATTAGATAGAAAGTTGCTACCCTGCCCGCCTGTGGGGAAAACAACCTGTGGTTACCTAGGTTACCCCATTGGCTCACAGCAAAAACTTGACCTTTTCAAACGCAATTTTCTTGTTGTCTGCTTGTTTTAGTTCATTACAAAACTACATTTAAGAAAAGTACATGTCTAAAGATTGCTTTTCAACATTGCCTGCTCCCTAGCGTTCTCACTACTTAGAAAAACATAATATTGTAGGGCTTCCCTCATGCCCCATTTCACGACGACGCTAGCAGCCACTTGGGTGAGTGAATGCTAGTTAGCTACCGACCGGAACATTAAGCTAGCCAAGACCAATAGCACAAACAAACAGACTATACTGCTACATGTAGTGAGTGGAGTTACAAACGGACTGTACTAAACAAGTTAAATGTCTTACCTGTGATGAAATGTTTTCCACATACATAGCTACGTGTAGCCAACGCATCCCCACACCGAATAGCCTCAAGCCACAGGGCTCTTCTCGCAGGCTCTATTTCCCTACGTGGGAGCATTGCGAACGGTGGGTCGGGATTTTTGACCTGGCTACATGTACATTGAACAACACAGCAGCTTGTCGGCATGTTTTGTTGTTTCTGTATAACATCGACAACGAAGTTGCCTCTTTTACAATGGGGGTCAGGAAAGAATGTTGGTTTTCCCCAATTTATGGGTGTGGTCGAGGGGAATTCCTTATTATTACGTGGATACTGACTGGGACTATGTGTTTGGAGTTAGTTTTCAAATCATCAAAGACAAACGTCGGTGCTTATGTTAGAAGTAATAAAAAACCTGAATAAAGGCGTCCTTCATGCACGTACGTCATCAATGCAAATCTTTTGAAAACACGACGCTGCCTTCACAAATAAGTCACTACTATAAAGATATATTTTGATATGCAAATGCCTGTGCCAACAGATAAAGCATGATCTTATGTTGTTGATAATATGAAGAGGTACTGTAGTCAGTTACCCTTTTGCAGAGGGACTTGGTGTCCTCTGAGAACTTGTCTGAGTACTCCTCTTCCACGTCTCTGACCAGCCTCTCCACGTCCTCACGTTTGATCTTCTTCTTGCGCTGCTGGAAGGGAGACTGTCCCTCGATCATCTCATACAGCAGACAGCCCAGCGCCCACCAGTCTGGGCTGAATGTGTAGCGCTCATTCTTAACCACCTCAGGAGCTGACACACACATTAGGATGACATGCACACAGACACATGACTACAAATAATTTTAGAACCATTTACGTAGTACTTATGAGGACTTTATGAATTTTGTTGTTCATTTATACTGAACAAAAATATAACTGCAACATGCAACAATTTCAAAGATTTTACTGAGTTACAGTTCATATAAGGAAATCAGTCAATTGAAATAAATTCATTAGGCCCTAATCTATGGATTTCACATGACTGGGCAGGGGTGCAGCCATGGGAGGGCAAATGCCCACCCACTTGGCAGCCAGGCCCTACCACTGTGGAGCCAGGCCCAGCCAATCAGAATTAGTTTTTCCCCACAGAAGGGCTTATTACAGGTTAAGAAGCCGGATGTGGAGATCAAGGGCTGGCATGGCAACATGAGGCTGGTTGGACGTACTGCCAAATTCTCTAAAACGACATTGGAGGCAGCTTATGGTAGAGAAATGAACATTCAATTCTCTGGCAACAGCGGACATTCCTGCAGTCAGCATGCCAATTGCACACTCCCTCAAAACTTGAGACATCTGTGGCATTGTGTTGTGCCACAAAACTGCACATTTTAAAGTGGCCTTTTATTGTCCCCAGCACAAGGTGCACCTGTGTAATGATCATGCTGTTTGATCAGCTTCTTGATATGCCACACCTGTCAGGTGGATGGATTATCTTGGCAATGGAGAAATGCTCACTAACAGGGATGTAAACAAATTTGTGCACAACATTTGAGCGAAATAAGGTTTTTGTGCGTATGGAAAATGTCAGGGATTTTTTATTTCAGCTCATGAAACATGGGACCAACACTTTACATGTTGTGTTTATATTTTTTGTTCAGTGTATATTGGTACTGTTCATTATACAGTACAGGAACAGTATCTGAAATTTTTTTGTGGAATATCTTTTGTTGAATGTGCTTACCCATGTACCCAACGGTGCCCACCCGACCCTTGATGGTCTCTCCCTCGGGCACGTGGACAGCCAAGCCCAGGTCTGATATCCGGATATGGCCTAAAGGAACACAACACAAACTGTGTTACAGTACACCGCCTAATGCTGGAACAGTTAACCTTATGTCATTTGACATGCTATCCCCACAGACGATGTGAGATATCCGGATATGGCCTATAGCACGACAGAACACATCAGATACAGTAGACTAATAGCCTAAACCACTTAATGCTGGAACATTTAACCTTATGTCATATGAGATCGCCGGATACGGCCAATCACGATGCAACACAACAAGACACATACAGTATTACATAGAATACCCCTCAATCCGATGTCATTTGACAGGCTATCTCCAGTCTGGAGTCTGGACAAGAGACTATGTATATCAATAGAGGGCTTCCTTTGGTCAAAGCAGAGTTCATGAAAGCCATGTACTGTGGAAACCTTATCTATGTTGTTTTGCTAAAGAGCACCATTCAGTGGTCGCAGGCTTCACTGACAACCTTGAGAAAGCAGGAGCACCCGTCTTTGAGACAAGTCTTTTCATAGACAATCTGCTCCCTCTATTGGTGAATAACAGAATGACAGCCTTGGTTCACACAAGCAGTAAAGTCTGGCTACGGAGAGCTACAGAGTATGTGCAGGCTTTTGTTCCAGCCCATCACTAACACATCAGATCTATTAATCAATTAATCATCAAGACCTTGATTAGTTGAATCAAGTGTTTTAAAGTAGTGCTCAGCTGGAACAACAATGTGTGCAGGCTATTGTTCCAGGACCATGGTTGGTCTCCAAGACCAGGGCTGGTCCATTAAAACATGCATTTACTTGCATACAAGTGGGCATTCACATTATTGCTCTCTCTACTCACCATGGTCGTCCAATAGTATATTTTCAGGCTTCAGGTCCCTGAAAGAAGAGAGAAATGAAACCAAGAACTAACTTCTATCGTCTCCAACAGCCTTGTGAGCAGCTGAGAGACAGATTTACAAAACTTTGATAAGCTCTCCATCTGTATACATGCGTGCCTTTGTGTGTGTGTGCGTGCCTTTGTGTGTGTGTGTGTGTTTGTGTGTGTGTGTGTGAAAGACTATGTGTGCATACTCACCTGTAGACGATCCTCTCTCGGTGCAGGTCCTCCAGGCCACAGGCCAGCTCTGCAGAGTAGAACACAGCCCTCTTCTCCTCGAAGCCAGCCTCTCCCATGTGGTAGATGTGGAACTTGAGGTCTCCCCCATTCATCAGGGTGAGCACCAGACACAGAGCGTCCTTCGTCTCATAGGCGTACGCTAGACTCACCTCCATGAGACATAGACAACACGGTCATATTCATTAGGTACCAAACTAAATAAAACAAAACAGACTTAAAACAGGGAGGGACTACCTGAACTTGTCCAATAAGAAGCGCTTGTTTTCTTCTTTTGTTGCAAATCACTTCACAACATGAATACGACCCTGGGCTTAGAGACCGCTTTGAAAATCATACTCCTACTACTTTATACACAAGATAGAAAGCTATGGAGGTAGGAGAAGGAGAGGAGCGGGAAACAGAATGAACATCTAAGACCACTTTTGGCCCGAACATTGGATCACCGACTGATGGATGTCCAAATAAAATAAGTCTAAACTGGGTTGTGTGGGGTCACTTGAAATTAAAACAAACCCCACTGAACCAAACCCTAATGTTATCTTTTAATTACTAGTGTTATTATTATTACGATCTGATCTGAGCTATCACACAGTCGTCTGGAAGAGCCATCTAGACTCAACTGGTCAAAAGTGTTTATGCTGCGGTCAACAGTTGAGTTGTGGTCAACAGTTGAGTTGCGGTCAACAGTTGAATTCGTTGAGTTCAGACATCTTGACATCTTTGGTGGAAATATGAGTAAGTGGTGCATCACAATATATGAATGTAGTTCATATACTGTATACATTAAATATATTACATATACTGTTCATACCGGTAGGGCTGGGCGATATGGCCTAAAAATCCTATCTCGATATATATATATTTTCACGTTTTCTCTAAATAAGCTTTGTTGCAAAATTAAAGGACAATACACTGCATTTCAAACAGTCAGGAATAACATAATGTAATCTAATCAGGGCTTGTAAAATTATACCTAGGCTAAATATAAGCCTTCCACAACCACAAGACCTACTAATAACTACATTATTTTATCAAAATATACTGAACAAAAATATAAACACAACATGTAAAGTGTTGGTCCCATGTTTTATGAGCTGAAATAAAAGATCACAGAAATGTTCCATCCACACCAAAAAAGTATTTATCTCCAATTTTGTGCACAAATTTGTTTACATCCCTGTTAGTGAGCATTTCTCCTTTGCCAAGATAATCCATCCACCTGACAGGTGTGGCATATCAAGAAGCTGATTAAACAGCATGATCTTTACATGTTGCGATAAAGGCATTCGGAACAATGCGCTAAAACATACATTTGAATGAATCAAAATAATTTGATATATCGCACAGCCCTACATACAGTGCATATCTTATACATACGTGACACATAGTAGGCGGTAAGTAGGTAGCTCGAATACTTACTACAAACCTACTGTTGACTTTCTCTAGAATCTGCTTCTCGTTCAAGGCCATAGACTCTCCTTTCCTCTTCTTAATCCTCTTCTTCTCCAACTTCTTACACGCGTACATCTTTCCTGTGGCTCGCACCTGGCAAGCACACACCTGACGAGAAGAGTGGATGTGAGAGAGAGAGAGAGAGAGAGAGAGAGAGGGACAGAGCGAGGAGAGGAGAGCACAAGAGGACACCAGTTAATGGCAGTTATTTCCCAAACACACAGTTTATCATTTTATAGGCCCATCAAATTACATCCAGACTGAGATCCTTGTTGGACCTCGTTGATCATTTACAAGTTGATGAAGATTATAAGAGACTCCACTTTATTTCTCATTATCCACTTCTAAAATCTCATTCTAAATGAAAGGATGCTTTAGTTAAAGAGAGAAACAGAGAGAGTCCTTACCTCACCAAAGCCTCCCTTTCCTAATACCCTGTACTGTCGGAATGTGTTCTTGGTGACTGGCTGCCTATGAGGACACAGAGAAGAGGGTCAATACAATAAAAAACACCACAACTTTAATTGTCCAACGTGGGGAAATTTGCTCAACTTTATGGACATACACTGACTGTACAGCAGCAATGCACAGGAACATACACATCTGACTTTGTAAGTAAACGGCTTGACCATTGCACTTTTACAAAGTGTTTGCTTTAAAAACACTATCCGGTCAAATGAAAGCAATAGGGGGAATAAAACCCTTGTCTATTATGTATATACTTGAGTTTGGCCCAGCACCAAAGACAAGATGAGACAACATTCTTAAGGCCTTTAACAAGTGTTGGCATATTTACTGTGAGTCAAAGGCTGCGTCCCAAATGACACTCTATTCCCTACATAGTGCACTACTTTTGACCAGAACTCTATGGGCCCTGGTCAAAAGTAGTGCACTAAAGGTGCCATTTGGGAAACAACCAAAGTGATGAAAGAGTGTGGGTAAACTTCTCTTAAATCTATGACTATTATGGGAAGGGCATTGCACAAGCCTTGCCTCTCTGCTAGGCTGGTGAGTGGAGACATGTTCTGTTTCCTAATGTAAATAAATATAGAGACCGGGGCTCACGTATTTAAATAAATACATTTGTTCCCCAAAGTACTCATTTGCATTCCATGTATGATAGGCCTTCTGGGCTAAAGGTCTTTAAATGTTGTCATCCCCCTTGGCGTTTTTTTCCTATTTTGTTGCATTACAACCTGTAATTTAAATGGATTTTTATTTGGATTTCATGTAATGGACATACACAAAATAGTTCAAATTGGTGAAGTGAAATGAAAAAAAAAAACTTGTTTCAAAAAATTCTATAAAATAAATAAATAGTGGGGCGTGCATATGTATTCACCCCCTTTGCTATGAAGCGCCTAAATAAGATCTGGTGCAACCAATTACCTTCAGAAGTCACATAATTAGTTAAGTCCACCTGTGTGCAATCTAAGTGCCACATGATCTCAGTATACAGTGGGGAGAACAAGTATTTGATACACTGCCGATTTTGCAGGTTTTCCTACTTACAAAGCATGTAGAGGTCTGTAATTTTTATCCTAGGTACACTTCAACTGTGAGAGACGGAATCTAAAACAAAAATCCGGAAAATCACACTGTATGTTCTTTAAGTAATTAATTTGCATTTTATTGCATGACATAAGTATTTGATCACCTCCCAACCAGTAAGAATTCCGGCTCTCACAGACCTGTTAGTTTTTCTTTAAGAAGCCCTCCTGTTCTCCACTCATTACCTGTATTAACTGCACCTGTTTGAACTCTTTACCTGTATAAAAGACACCTGTCCACACACTCAATCAAACAGACTCCAACCTCTCCACAGTGGCCAAGACCAGAGAGCTGTGTAAGGACATCAGTGATAAAATTGTAGACCTGCACAAGGCTGGGATGGGCTACAGGACAATAGGCAAGCAGCTTGGTGAGAAGGCAACAACTGTTGGCACAATTATTAGAAAATGGAAGAAGTTCAAGATGACAGTCAATCACCCTCGGTCTGGGGCTCCATGCAAGATCTCCCCTCGTGTGGCATCAATGATCATGAGGAAGGTGAGGGATCAGCCCAGAACTACATGGCAGGACCTGGTCAATGACCTGAAGAGAGCTGGGACCACAGTCTCAAAGAAAACCATTAGTAACACACTACGCCGTCATGGATTAAAATCCTGCAGCGAATGCAAGGTCCCCCTGCTCAAGCCAGCGCATGTCCAGGCCCGTCTGAAGTTTGCCAATGACCATCTGGATGATCCAGAGGAGGAATGGGAGAAGGTCATGTGGTCTGATGAGACAAAAATAGAGCTTTTTGGTCTAAACTCCACTCGCCGTGTTTGGAGGAAGAAGAAGGATGAGTACAACCCCAAGAACACCATCCCAACCGTGAAGCATGGAGGTGGAAACATCATTCTTTGGGGATGCTTTTCTGCAAAGGGGACAGGACGACTGCACCGTATTGAGGGGAGGATGGATGGGGCCATGTATCGCGAGATCTTGGCCAACAACCTCCTTCCCTCAGTAAGAGCATTGAAGATGGGTCGTGGCTGGGTCTTCCAGCATGACAACGACCCGAAACACACAGCCAGGGCAACTAAGGAGTGGCTCTGTAAGAAGCATCTCAAGGTCCTGGAGTGGCCTAGCCAGTCTCCAGACCTGAACCCAATAGAACATCTTTGGAGGGAGCTGAAAGTCCATATTGCCCAGCGACAGCCACGAAACCTGAAGGATCTGGAGAAGGTCTGTATGGAGGAGTGGGCCAAAATCCCTGCTGCAGTGTGTGCAAACCTGGTCAAGACCTACAGGAAACGTATGATCTCTGTAATAGCAAACAAAGGTGTCTGTACCAAATATAAAGTTCTGCTTTTCTGATGTATCAAATACTTATGTCATGCAATAAAATGCAAATTAATTACTTAAAAATCATACAATGTGATTTTCTGGATTTTTGTTTTAGATTCAGTCTCTCACAGTTGAAGTGTACCTATGATAACAATTACAGACCTCTACATGCTTTGTAAGTAGGAAAACCTGCAAAATCGGCAGTGTATCAAATACTTGTTCTCCCCACTGTATATATACACACCTGTTCTGAAAGGCCCCAGAGTCTGCAACACCACTAAGCAAGGGGCACCACCAAGCAAGTGGCACCATGAAGACCAAGGAGCTCTCCAAACAGGTCAGGGACAAAGTTGTGGAGAAGTACAGATCAGGGTTGGGTTATAAAAAAATATCAGAAACTTTGAACATCCCATGGAGCACCATTATTAAAAAATTTAAAGAATATGGCACCACAACAAACCAAAACTCACGGACCAGGCAAGGAGGGCATTAATCAGAGAGGCAACAAAAATACCAAAGATAACCCTGAAGGAGCTGCAAAGTTCCACAACGGAGATTGGAGTATCTGTCCATAGGACCACTTTAAGCCGTACACTCCACAGAGCTGGGCTTTACGGAAGAGTGGCCAGAAAAAAACCATTGCTTAAAGAAAAAAATAAGCAAACACGTTTGGTGTCCGCCAAAAGGCATGTGGGAGACTCCCCAAAAATATGGAAGAAGGTACTCTGGTCAGATGAGACTAAAATTGAGCTTTTTGGCCATCAAGGAAAATGCTATGTCTGGCGCAAACCCAACACCTCTCATCACCCCGAGAACACCATCCCCACAGTGAAGCATGGTGGTGGCAGCATCATGCTGTGGGGATGTTTTTCCCATCGGCAGGGACTGGAAGGCGCTAAATACAGGGAAATTCTTGAGGGAAACCTGTTTCAGTCTTCCAGAGATTTGAGACTGGGACGGAGGTTCACCTTCCAGCAGGACAATGACCCTAAGCATACTGCTAAAGCAACACTCGAGTGGTTTAAGGGGAAACATTTAAATGTCTTGGAATGGCCTAGTCAAACCCCAGACCTCAATCCAATTGAGAATCTGTGGTATGACTTAAAGATTGCTGTACACCAGCGGAACCCATCCAACTTGAAGGAGCTGGAGCAATTTTGCCTTGAAGAATGGGCAAAAATCCCAGTGGCTAGATGTGCCAAGCTTATAGAGACATACCCCAAGAGACGTGCAGCTGTAATTGCAGCAAAAGGTGGCTCTACAAAGTATTGACTTTGGGTGGGGGGCGGGCGGGGGGGGGATGGGGTGTGAAGAGTTATGCACGCTCAAGTTCTGTTTTTTTTGTCTTATTTCTTGTTTTTGCATCTTCAAAGTGGTAGGCATGTTGTGTAAATCAAATGATATAAACCCCCCCAAAATTCCAGGTTGTAAGGCAACAAAATAGGAAAAATGCCAAGGGGGTGAATATTTTCACAAGCCACTGTAGGACCAGACAGAGAGCACACATTACACCGGTTTTAAGTTCTATGCACTGGCTGCCTGTGAGTTTTAGAATTAATTTCAAGATTCTGCTATTGGTTTTTAAATCAATCCACGATTGTGCACCGCAATACATGTCAGAGATGCTTTTAAGTTATGTACCCAGTAGGTCCCTCAGGTCCTCTGGCACTGGCCTTTTAACTATCCCAAAGCCGAGGACCAAGAGGTATGGAGAGGCAGCCTTTAGTTATTATGCCCCCAGCCTCTGGAATAGCCTGCCAGAGAACCTGAGGGGGGCTGAAACTGTGGACATATTTAAATGAGATCTTAAAACACACCTTTTATTTTTGCTTAGGGTGCTTTTTAGTCTTTCAGTTTCTATTGTTATTCTTTCGCTTTTTTATCCTCTTATGTTAATTGTGTATGACATTAAAAAAAAAATTTAAGCACATTGTGTTGCATTCCATGTCTGAGATGTGCTGTATAAATAAAGCTTGATTTGATTTGAAGCATGAGTATGGATGTGAACAAAACCAAAAGTGTAGGTTTTACAATACATCACCATGATACTATCCTGAACACTATCAATAGCTTCATAACATTGTATGTGCGTTGTTTAGAGCTTTTAACAAAAACCTTTGTCACAAAGCGCTTAACGGTAACCCGGCCTAAAAACCCATGAGACCAAATAGAGGAACAGTTGATACGAATAACTTTCTAGATAAGAGGAAACCTTGAGAGCCGGTAATATATATATAAACCACATCAATAGGAGAATTAACAGCAGAGCATATCAAAGACACAGCCCCACTGAGAGTAGTGGAGTACAGGTGACTAGGAGGATACTTTGGAGGCGGTGTGAAGTTTCTGTAACATGTAATCACTTGTGCTGTGGTGGGGTTTTGTGCGTGTGTGTGTGTGTGTGTGTGTGTGTGTGTGTGTGTGCGTGTGTATGTGTCTGTGTGCTCATAAGTGTGGGAAGCAGCAAAAGGGTGTGTGAGTATTTGCCATTTTCGCTTTTTGATTTAAAGTTAAACTAGTAGGCTACCATACCTCTCCAGCCACTTCCACTGCAGGAATCGGTTATAGTACATGCTGTCGAGGTAGTCTGCGAAGGGAGCCACACTCAGGTAGTCATGGATCAGTCTGCAACAGAGGACAGAACAGAGATTTTTGCAATTTGTTCCAGTCATTGGCAGCAGAGAACTGGAAGGAATGGCGGCCAAAGGAGGTGTTGGCTTTGGGGATGACCAGTGAGATATACCTGCTGGAGCGCATACTACGGGTGGGTGTTGCTGCTATGCCATGGGCCCATCTCTCTGTCTACTATTCCCCAAACATCAGTTCACAGCTAAACATTAATTAACCCCAACCAGAAGGAGGAATGACAGAAAGAGTCTGTTCAGGGCTGTAATGTTGTTGGAACAGTTGTGAGAAAGTTCTAGAATATAAATGTTGCTGAACGGAATGGCGGGTGATTGAAGTGGCTAGGGGTGATTGATTTGAAAAAATGTCATCAGCAGCCACATACCCTCAATGCTGTTGACACGCCCATACAACAAGTGTGAACAACTGTTCACAGGATGTTGCATAATGCAGGAGACAATTTAAAGGAAAACTCTGAAATTCTGCCTCTGGGCACATTTCATCGCTGAAAATGACCCTTTATTCTTAAACTGACTTCCTTTGTTGAATAATGGTGTAATGATCATATAAAATCTACATTTTCCAATCTTGAATATCTCCCATATGCTAAGTAAGTACTGATGTTAGTGTATTCTCTGTGACTGGGTTTCTGTGTTAACAGACTCACTTGGTGCACTCGTTGAAGAGTTCTTTACAGGGCTCCTGCTCCTGCTCCAGCCTCTCTGTAAACTGACCCATCATTTCCTCCCCCAACTCCGGGACATGATCCTCTGACTAGAGGGGGATGGAACACAATACAACGCTAATTTCACACACACACATATACATATACATATATATATATATACACACAGTGAGGGATAAAAGTATTTGATCCCCTGCTGATTTTGTACGTTTGCCCACTGACAAAGACATGATCAGTCTATAATTTTAATGGTAGGTTTATTTGAACAGTGAGAGACAGAATAACAACAACAAAATCCAGAAAAACGCATGTCAAAAATGTTATAAATAGATTTTCATTTTAATTAGGAAAATAAGTATTTGACCCCTCTGCAAAACATGACTTAGTACTTGGTGGCAAAACCCTTGTTGGCAATCACAGAGGTTTCTTGTAGTTGGCCACCAGGTTTGCACACATCTCAGGAGGGATTTTGTTCCACTCCTCTTTGCAGATCTTCTCCAAGTCATTAAGGTTTTGAGCCTGACGTTTGGCAACTCAAACCTTCAGCTCCCTCCACAGATTGTCTATGGGATTAAGGTCTGGAGACTGGCTAGGCCACTCCAGGACCTTAATGTGCTACTTCTTGAGCCACTCCTTTGTTGCCTTGGCCGTGTGTTTTGGGTCATTGTCATGCTGGAATACCCATTTACGACCCATTTTCAATGCCCTGGCTGAGGGAAGGAGGTTCTCACCCAATATTTGATGGTACATGGGCCCGTCCATCGTCCCTTTGATGCAGTGAAGTTGTCCTGTCCCCTTAGCAGAAAAACACCCCCAAAGCATAATGTTTCCACCTCCATGTTTGACGGTGGGGATGGTGTTCTTGGGGTCATAGGCAGCATTCCTCCTCCTCCAAACACGGCGAGTTGAGTTGATGCCAAAGAGCTCGATTTTGGTCTCATCTGACCACAACACTTTCACCCAGTTCTCCTCTGAATCATTCAGATGTTCATTGGCAAACTTCAGATGGCCCTGTATATGTGCTTTCTTGAGCAGGGGGAAAATTTGCGGGCGCTGCAGGATTTCAGTCCTTCACGGCGTAGTGTGTTACCAATTGTTTTCTTGGTGACTATGGTCCCAGCTGCCTTGAGATCATTGACAAGATCCTCCCGTGTAGTTCTGGGCTGATTCCTCACCGTTCTCATGATCATTGCAACTCCACGAGGTGAGATCTTGCATGGAGCCCCAGGCCGAGGGAGATTGACAGTTATTTTGTGTTTCTTCCATTTGCGAATAATCGCACCAACTGTTGTCACCTTCTCACCAAGCTGCTTGGCGATGGTCTTGTAGCCCATTCCAGCCTTGTGTAGGTCTACAATCTTGTCCCTGACATCCTTGGAGAGCTCTTTGGTCTTGGCCATGGTGGAGAGTTTGTAATCTGATTGATTGATTGCTTCTGTGGACAGGTGTCTTTTATACAGGTAAAAAGCTGAGATTAGGAGCACTCCTAAGCGCGTGCTCCTAATCTCAGCTCGTTACCTGTATAAAAGACACCTGGGAGCCAGAAATCTTTCTGATTGAGAGGGGGTCAAATACTTATTTCACTCATTAAAATGCAAATCAATTTATAACAATTTTGACATGCGCTTTTCTGGATTTTGTTCTTGTTATTCTGTCTCTCACTGTTCAAATAAACCTACCATTAAAATTATAGACTGATCATGTCTTTGTCAGTGGGCAAACGTACAAAATCAGCAGGGGATCAAATACTTTTTTTCCCTCACTGTATATATATATACAGTGGGGGGAACAAGTATTTGATACACTGCCGATTTTGCATGTTTTCCTACTTACAAAGCATGTAGAGGTCTGTAATTTTTATCATAGGTACATTTCAACTGTGATTTCAACAAAAATCCAGAAAATCACATCGTATGATTTTTAAGTAATTCATTTGCATTTTATTGCATGACATAAGTATTTGATCACCTACCAACCAGTAAGAATTCCGGCTCTCACAGACCTGTTCGTTTTTCTTTAAGAAGCCCTCCTGTTCTCTACTCATTACCTTTATTAACTGCACCTGTTTGAACTCGTTACCTGTATAAAAGACACCTGTCCACACACTCAATCAAACAGACTCCAACCTCTCCACAATGGCCAAGACCAGAGAGCTGTGTAAGGACATCAGGGATAAAATTGTAGACCTGCACAAGGCTGGGATGGGCTACAGGACAATAGGCAAGCAGCTTGGTGAGAAGGCAACAACTGTTGGCGCAATTATTAGAAAATGGAAGAATTTCAAGATGACGGTCAATCTCCCTCGGTCTGGGGCTCCATGCAAGATCTCACCTCGTGGGGCATCAATGATCATGAGGAGGAAGGTGAGGGATCAGCCCAGAACTACACGGCAGGACTTGGTCAATGACCTGAAGAGAGCTGGGACCACAGTCTCAAAGAAAACCATTAGTAACACTACGCCATCATGGATTAAAATCCTGCAGCGCACGCAAGGTCCCCCTGCTCAAGCCAGCGCATGTCCAGGCCCGTCTGAAGTTTGCCAATGACCATCTGGATGATCCAGAGGAGGAATGGGAGAAGGTCATGTGGAGCTTTTTGGTCTAAACTCCACTCGCCGTGTTTGGAGGAAGAAGAAGGATGAGTACAACCCCAAGAACACCATCCCAACCGTGAAGCATGGAGGTGGAAACATCATTCTTTGGGGATGCTCTTCTGTAAAGGGGACAGGACGACTGCACCGTATTGAGGGGAGGATGGATGGGGCCATGTATCGCAAGATCTTGGCCAACAACCTCCTTCCCTCAGTAAGAGCATTGAAGATGGGTCGTGGCTGGGTCTTCCAGCATGACAACGACCCGAAACACACAGCCAGGGCAACTAAGGAGTGGCTCCGTAAGAAGCATCTCAAGGTCCTGGAGTGGCCTAGCCAGTCTCCAGACCTGAACCCAATAGAAAATCTTTGGAGGGAGCTGAAAGTCCGTATTGCCTAGCGACAGCCCCGAAACCTGAAGGATCTGGAGAAGGTCTGTATGGAGGAGTGGGCCAAAATCCCTGCTGCAGTGTGTGCAAGACCTACAGGAAACGTATGATCTCTGTAATTGCAAACAAAGGATTCTGTACCAAATATTAAGTTCTGCTTTTCTGATGTATCAAATACTTATGTCATGCAATAGAATGCACATTAATTACTTAAAAATCATACAATGTGATTTTCTGGATTTTTGTTTTAGAATCCGTCTCTCACAGTTGAAGTGTACCTATGATAAAAATTACAGACCTCTACATGCTTTGTAAGTAGGAAAACCTGCAAAATCGGCAGTGTATCAAATACTTGTTCTCCCCACTGTATATATATTACATAATAGGCCCAGATTAAGCCCTCTCCTGAATTAAAAAGCATGCTCGATGGAGTATCTTAATTGAAATAGATTTTTTGTCAATGAATAGGTTTAATCTGGGTCCGGGAAACCACACTTCACCATTATTGAATATTTGACATCAATTCACTCATTGGCTGAAAATAGGGGTTTTTCTACTGTACCTCTGGGTTGAAGTACTTGTCTAGGAGCTCCTGAGCACACTCCCTCCTCTTCTCATCTGGACTGACCTCATACTCTGCCTGTCGGGGGAAGAAACAGTAACATACATAATTCAAACGCACGCACCCCTGTATAGTGACATCTGCTCTAACAGGTCAGTTCTACCATTTCCACTATAACTAGTAGCCTACAATCTAGTACTTTCTATACGACCTCTGATGGTACTAGAACCAAAATACCACATCACTGCAACCACAGGGTCGTGTTCAGTAGGCACGCAGCGGGAGAACGCTTTTTGAAACAGAAGAGATACTACCTGAGTATGTTCAATAAAAAAAGTTATATATGCCTACTGAACACAACCCAGTACCTCCCTTCACTACAGCACAGTTCTACAGAGCCACTCGCCTATGTCCCACTCCCAACACCATTTTGTTTAATAGTTCTCTCTGTGTTGTTGATTCCTGAATCCTGCTAAGTACAAAAGCATCAAGCCCTTGTGTCATGCCATCCTCCAGCCATCCAGCAGCATGACTTACAGTAAGCTAAGAGCCTCACTCTAAAGTGCTTCCGATGGACTCTCAGCACAACATAATGGTTAATGACAGTTGAGACGGTTCAAATCTCATTTGCTCCTTCTCATGTAGCCCAGGCTCTGTGCGAGGCAGGAAGGAGACAGTGCAGTAAAAGGACATGATCACTACTTATGAAGTTGGAGAAGACTGCCTGATAAAAGCTGTTATGACTGTCTGCTATCTCTTAATTCACAAAGTCAGCCACCTATTCATCATTTTACTGCCATTGACTATCTTTGTTATGCTACTAGCTATCATCCCATTGAGCCTTTTTCTACTTGGCTTTTGCATTTGTTAAATTAACCAGAGAGGATCTAGCTACAAGAACACATCCTCATATCAACATTAGTGTGTGTGAGTTATAATGTGTTAGAGGGAAGGAGATAAAGTGGGTGGCTCATGACTGAGTGTGTGTGTGCGTTAGTTGAATCCGTCCGAAATGGATACATGGCTTTCCCACCTGACCAGATATGCATAAATAACAAAATAACAAAAAACGGAGACCTGTTCCGAATGGACCCGAGGACAATCAGACCCGTTTTGAAAAGGTCAGTGGAAAAACGGACCCAAACAGACCGTGCCGGTTAGGATACGAGAGACCCGTTCAGATCCGAAAGTAGAAAGAGAGAGATCAAGAAACCCCCGACTGGGCAGCGCCATCAATAAACAAGCAATATTGGCCAAATGATCCACAGTTACAGTACATGTCCTTAAAAACGGCCTAATATTGAACAGAGGCTGGGAAACGCACAGTATTAAATAGAGCCATGACTACATGGAACTCTCTGCCACCCCAGGTAACTCAAGCTAGCAATAAAACCAGTTTAAAAAAACAGATAAAAGAACACCTTACTGCACAAAGGGGACTGTGAAGAGACACAGCCATTTCATATAAGTATATTGTATTGTAATTTGCACTGTACTATGTATTAGACCTAGATATTGTGTGTATGTTCTGATATGTAGGCTATGTGTGGTGTTTTAAATTTATGTATTTCAGTCCTTGACTAATAATGTTTTGTACTACACATTATGTCATGTTTCATGTGGACCCCAGGAATAGTAGCTGATGCTTTTGCAGCGGCTAATGGGGATCCTAATTTATACCAAAATACAAATTAACCATCAAACCTAGCAGTCAAACAGTGAAATGGTTCCAATTGTTTTTCCACCATTCATTTTTCCCATAGCGAATTTTATAAACACTTAAAATAAGGGCTTTGTTTCATGTAGGCTTACCCTGATGTGACGTTTTGATAACCGTGTAAATATCTCTCGGACAAAGTTACTTTTATCAATATATTCGGCTCTATTTACTCTCAGATTCTAAAATGCTAATTAGCATCAAAGTAGACATCATGCAAGGCTACAAATCCCTGCAAGCTCTTGCACGTCATCTCTAGCTGACACCTTTGCTAACAGGTATTGTGTCAATTTAAAACTTGCACAAGATAGCTCACAGAATTGTCAATTTAAAGAAATGTAGCCAATTTATTCATTACTAAATGTAGCTAACATTAGATAGTTAATCCAGAGATTCTTACCTTTGCCTCGATTCGGCAGTCTCGTCCAGATCATCATGGCATTTGTAGTATTTATGATAGCCACATTAGCATTTCATATTGGGGGGTAAATACAGGCGAGATTTACATGGTTATCAAAACGTCACGCCAGGGGACTACGTCGGGTGAGGTTGTGTTTTCTCTAGCAGGAGGTAAGCTTGGCTTCTTATATGGTGTTGAGTTAAGCTTAAACCATGTATTTAGATTGTAGGTAGGTATTGTAGTTAGATATTGTAGGTAGTTTATTTAGGTAGTTATTGTAGGTAATTATAGGTAATTATTGTAGGTAAGTATTGTATTCGAGTTAGCCCGGTGAAGCACGAGGCTAGCTAACCTAGCGGGTAGCTACTGGTAACTTTTAGCAACGGTGGATAGTTGTTTCCAATGTTATTTCACGCTTAAGAGTACCTGTAATTAAGCCAGCTAGCTACCTACCATTCAGCTGTTTTTCTAACCTCATTATCTGAAGCATTAACGTTAGGTAGTTAGTAGCTAGTGTACTTAATTACAGCTACTGATTGCAGAAAACCACCCAGACAGCTGGCGTCGGGTAAGTTTGGCTTTATGCATAGCTTGGGCTTTGTCGAGTAGGGCTTAAACTATGTATTTGGATTGTAGTTGGGTATTGTAGCTGGGCATCGTGGGTTGTTGTGGGTAGTTGTTGTATGTAGTTATTGTAGGTTACTTCTGTATTCGGCGGTGCCGGGTGTGGCACGAAGCTAGCTGGCTAACTCACCTCCTGACTGGCTGGCGAGTAGCTATTAGCAACGGTAGCAACTAGGTACGGTGTCCTTTTGGCCAGCTACGTTCGTTCGCAGCGACGCCGTTTTTCAAGCAGGGTCAGCACAGCGGCCATTGCTAGCTAGCCAACACTGCCAGCTAGCTGTACTGTAGTAGCTAAATACAATATCTTTGTGCTAGCTAGCCAACATTTATTTATTGCTGCGTTATGAAAGAACTAGACACACGGACACGAATTATCTGTTTAGTGTGTTAACACACTATTGGTAGTTTGTTGTAACCAAGTATTGGTGCTAAACTGTGTGTTATTGGATGCTAGCATGCTAGTTAGCTGAATAAAGTAAGTTGAGTCTATTCCTTGAAACATTGAACCGCTGTAGTTTACAACAATTCTAATTTCTAAAGTGGAAGTTGGGAGAGTTTTATTCGGGTGGTTCAGTGAAACAATTATAGTTTCTGAGGTGGAAGTTGGGAGAGTTATATTTTTTTTTGGTGAGGGAGGCCCTGCTCTCTCCTTTCCCAGATGTTTAGTTCATTTCATTCCGATCTCCTCTGCATTATTGTAGCCATCTGCTACAGCCTGTCAACTATGCCTCTGCCTATCCCTGTTCTCTCCTCTCCGCACAGGCTACACAAACGCCTCACACCGCGTGGCTGCTGCCTCTCTAACCTGGTGGTCCCTGCACGCACCACACACCTGGAGTTCCAGGTCTCAGGCAGCCTCTGGAACTGCCGTTCTGCTGCCAACAAGGCTGACTTCATCCCAGCCTATGCTACCCTCCAGTCCCTCGACTTCCTGGCGCTGACGGAAACATGGATTACCACTGAAAACACTGCTACTCCTACTGCTCTCTCCTCGTCTGACCATGTGTTCTCGCATACCCCGAGAGCATCTGGTCAGAGGGGTGGTGGCACAGGAATCCTCATCTCTCCCAAGTGGTCATTCTCAATTTTCCCCTAACCCATCTGTCTATCTCCTCATTTGAATTCCACGCTGTCACAGTCACTAGCCCATTTAAGCTTAATATCCTTGTCATCTATCGCCCTCCAGGTTCCCTTGGAGAGTTCATCAATGAGCTTGACGCCTTGATAAGTTCCTTTCCTGAGGATGGCTCACCCCTCACAGTTTTGGGGGATTTCAACCTCCCTACGTCTACATTTGACTCATTTCTCTCTGCCTCCTTCTTTCCACTCCTCTCCTCTTTTGACCTCACCCTCTCACCGTCCCCCCCTACTCACAAGGCAGGCAATACGCTTGACCTCATCTTTACTAGATGCTGTTCTTCTACTAATCTCACTGCAACTCCCCTCCAAGTCTCCGACCACTACTTTGTATCCTTTTCTCTCTCGCTCTCCTCCAACACTACTCACTCTGCCCCTACACAGATGGTAACGCGCCGCCGCAACCTTCGCTCTCTCTCTCCCACTACTCTCTCCTCTTCCATCCTATCATCTCTTCCCTCTGCTCAATCCTTCTCCCTCCAATCTCCTGATTCTGCCTCCTCAACCCTCCTCTCCTCCCTTTCTGCATCCTTTGACTCCCTGTGTCCCCTATCCTCCCGGCCGGCTCGGTCCTCCCCTCCAGCTCCGTGGCTTGATGACTCATTGCGAGCTCACAGAACAGAGCTCCGGGCAGCTGAGCGGAAATGGAAGAAAAGTAAACTCCCTGCCGACCTGGCATCTTTTCACTCCCTCCTCTCTACATTTTCTTCATCTGTTTCTGCTGCTAAGGCCACTTTCTACCACTCTAAATTCCAAGCATCTGCCTCTAACCCTAGGAAGCTCTTTGCCACCTTCTCCTCCCTGCTGAATCCTCCTCCCCCTCCCCCTCCTCCCCCCTCCTCCCTCTCTGTGGATGACTTCGTCAACCACTTTGAAAAGAAGGTTGACGACAGCCGATCCTCGTTTGTTAAGTCTAATGACACTGCTGGTCCTGCTCACACTGCCCTACCCTATGCTTTGACTTCTTTCTCCCCTCTCTCTCCAGATAAAATCTTGCGACTTGTGACTGCAGGCCGCCCAACAACCTGCCCGCTTGACCCCATCCCCTCCTCTCTTCTCCAGACCATCTCCGGTGACCTTCTCCCCTACCTCACCTCGCTGATCAACTCATCCTTGACCGCTGGCTATGTCCCTTCCGTCTTCAAGAGAGCGAGAGTTGCACCCCTTCTCAAAAAACCAACACTCGATCCCACTGATGTCAACAACTACAGACCAATATCCCTTCTTTCTTTTCTTTCCAAAACTATTGAGCGTGCCGTCTTTAGCCAACTCTCTTGCTATCTCTCTCAGTATGACCTTCTTGATCCAAACCAGTCAGGTTTCAGGACTGGTCATTCAACTGAGACTGCTCTTCTCTGTGTCACGGAGGCTCTCCGCACTGCTAAAGCTAACTCTCTCTTGTCCTTCTAGACCTGTCTGCTGCCTTTGATACTGTGAACCATCAGATCCTCCTCTCCACCCTCTCCGAGCTGGGCATCTCCGGCGCGGCTCACTCCTGGATTGCGTCCTACCTGACCGGTCGCTCCTACCAAGTGGCGTGGCGAGAAGCTGTCTCCGCACCACGTGCTCTCACCACTGGTGTCCCCCAGGGCTCAGTTCTAGGCCCTCTCCTTTTCTCCCTATACACCAAGTCACTTGGCTCTGTCATATCCTCACATGGCCTCTCCTATCATTGCTACGCTGACGATACACAACTAATCTTCTCCTTTCCCCCTTCTGATAACCAGGTGGCGAATCGCATCTCTGCATGTCTGGCAGACATATCAGTATGGATGACGGATCACCACCTCAAGCTGAACCCTGGCAAGACGGAGCTGCTCTTCCTCCCGGGGAAGGACTGCCCGTTCCATGATCTCGCCATCACGGTTGACAACTCCGTTGTGTCCTCCTCCCAGAGTGCGAAGAGCCTTGGCGTGACCCTGGACAACACCCTGTCGTTCTCCGCTAACATCAAGGCGGTGACCCGATCCTGCAGGTTCATGCTCTACAACATTCGGAGAGTACGACCCTGCCTTACACAGGAAGCGGCACAGGTCCTAATCCAGGCACTTGTCATCTCCCGTCTGGATTACTGCAACTCGCTGTTGGCTGGGCTCCCTGCCTGTGCCATTAAACCCCTACAACTCATCCAGAATGCCGCAGCCCGTCTGGTGTTCAACCTTCCCAAGTTCTCTCACGTCACCCCCCTCCTCCGCACACTCCACTGGCTTCCAGTTGAAGCTTGCATCCGTTACAAGACCATGGTGCTTGCCTATGGAGCTGTGAGGGGAACGGCACCTCCGTACCTTCAGGCTCTGATCAGTCCCTACACCCAAACGAGGGCATTGCGTTCATCCACCTCTGGTCTGCTGGCTCCCCTTCCTCTGCGGAAGCATAGTTCCCGCTCAGCCCAGTCAAAACTGTTCGCTGCTCTGGCACCCCAATGGTGGAACAAGCTCCCTCACGACGCCAGGACAGCGGAGTCACTCACCACCTTCCGGAGACATTTGAAACCCCACCTCTTTAAGGAATACCTGGGATAGGATAAAGTAATCCTTCTACCCCCCCCCCCCCTCCCCCCCCCCCCAAAAAAAATAATATAATAATATTTTTTTATTTTTTTATTAATAAAAATAATAATAATAATACAATTGTAAAGTGGTTATCCCACTGGCTATAGGGTGAATGCACCAATTTGTAAGTCGCTCTGGATAAGAGCGTCTGCTAAATGACGTAAATGTAAATGTAAATGGGTAAGCCTACATGAAACACAGCCCTTATTTTAAGTGTTTCTAAAATCCCCTATGGGAAAAAGAAATAGTGGAAAAACGATTGGAACCATTTTCTTGTTTGACCGCTAGGTTTTATGGGTATTATAACTCATACTGTGGTACTCTATAGGCGTACAGAAAGAGGCTAATTTGTTAGATTTTTATAAAGATAAGCATTATATTGTTAGATTAAAGGAGTAACTCTGTTGTGTGGATACCCAGACTCCTAGCTCTGGCTGAACGCTACGCCACACCCACGGACATTAGTTTATGTTCCGCAATGAGTCTGGACCTGAGTACCTCCCCCAACATTCACAGAATGCGAACACATTCGGGGCCGTCTGATTAGTCCAGAAACCGATGGGTTGGGCCAGAGCCAGAACACAGGTGAAGGTAAAGCGGCACAGGTAAAGCGGCAGTTTGAAAATGTGTCATTGGTTTTGATATTCAGATTGGTTAGAGATGATCCAACCGCTGATTACTTTTTGTACAACGCCCCTCGTGTCCCTCATCATCACAAACGACTTAAATGATGTCAGTCTCAGACTAAAGTATGTAGAGAACGACAGAGCAGAGGTAGAATTTATTGTGAGTCGACAGGCTAGTAACTCTGGTAGGCCTAAAACATTCTTCCTCACCTCAAGTTCAACTGTAGGAGTCAGTTGGAACTCACTGCCTTCATAGGCCTGCATAGCTAAGCCTAATAATAGCCATACCCCACCATACCTTCACAAAAGTTTTACTTTATTAGGGTAATATCAAAAGTAATTCAAGTCATTGTTTATAAGGAAAATACGAACAGGTTATTATATTGTGGCATTAAATTAAGTTTTGCATCTTGCCCTCTTTGGTTTTTCCTTTTCATGGTTCGAGTGTGAGTAGCACTATAGTAGGCCTACCGGTAATTCTATCATATTGCGGCAAACACAACATTAACTTAATTTGGCCAAAGAAAATGTCTCAACAGAATGAAACAAGACATCTATTTAAAGAACTGGTTTAAACCTTCACAAAAGTTTTCAACAGGCTTATATTGCAGAAATTACTAACAAAAACGAGTGCCTGCCATAGGCCCACCCAATAAATGACAGCAATAGGCTAATCCTATTTCTTTTACAACAGGCCAACTTTTAACCTATCTTTAACTAAATACGTATCACAAACTTAAAAAGACAGTTCGAACTTCATTTAGCCAACAAAAATATCTAAACAAAACACTTTTTGCATATTTAAAGAACTGGTTTAGATTGATTAAATAGGTCTACAATAATAATAATAAATACTAAAACAAATTATAATAAATATGAAAATAAATCAATGTTAGAAAATTGCATCAAACCTGAATAGCAAGTTGCACACACCGTCCATTTGACCGCGCCAACGTTCTTCTCATCTTTGTCCACTAAAACATGTCCCTGAAGACATTCCCCTTGTTGGCTTCTTTAACAGAGGATGGGTCCAATCGGGTCCAGTCAGTAAATACATTTTAATTGCACATACCCAAGACCCGTGGCAATTATATCAGACCCAACCCAGATCAAAGACAAAAGTCCGAATTTAGGACTGCTCGGGATCCGGGTCAGATCTCAGAATTTCGGGCCTGTTGGACCCGTTAAGACCTCTAGCGAGCATGCATATACGCACGAGTGAGTATGTGTGTGCGCGTCTGTGTGTATGTGTGTGCTCCAGAACTTTATTTTAGAAGAATGCCGCACAATGCCATGGGGGTCAGCCAGGGTGGAGAGAGGAAGTTCAGGTTTATCATTGAGTCATCAGGTGGGGGCTCTGAACAACACCCTGGTAGGCTAGCTACCCTGCTGTCCCCCCTGCACCTCCACCTCGTCCTCACCCTCTAACACTGCCCCCTCCCTCCCGGGACTGGGTGGGTAGAACCAAAAGAAAATTCCACAAGAGCGTAGTGCGGGGCGCATTCACTGAGAAAGAAGAGGAGGGGGGAGGTGGAGGGGGCGGTGGAGGGTGGTAAACTGATGCAGATTGCAACCCTTTGCTCCCAGAAGTCAAGAGATCCTGTATTTCATTAGCTACTAACCTCCTGTCCTGTCCTACCCTCCCCACCTTCCCTTCCCCTAATAAATGAGAACTTGAGATACATTTGAACAAGCTCATTCAGAGTCCTTCAGAAGATGTGCATCTCGAGGAAAAACAAACACAAGCGTTTTAATCCTGCCTGCCTGTCGGTCTTTCTTACTTACCACAGCGTCCAGGAATTTGACACAGCGCTTCAGCTCAGCCCGGGTTTCGCAGAACTGCCGAAAGAGCATTCGTCCGATTGGCTGCCGCTCACAAAGGCTGTTGTAGTATTTCTCTGTGGAAGAACACACGACAGAGAGGGAGTCAATGAGGGCCTCTCTCGGGATAGAATGAAAACACTCAAGCCCAAAAACACGTTAGAAGTAAACAAATATATACTGTACTGTGCATAACGCACGTGCTCACGCCCACTCAAAGGCGTGTGCACTTAAACATCTTGTAAAGACATAGGGCACATTAGCAAATGTACTGTGTGAGTACTATGAGTATCAAACTATTCCCACACACCTCTGCCTAACCACCCTTTGTAGACAGAGAAATGGTTATGAATGAGGTCTAGACGTACCCTACACACAGCACAATCTCACCTTCAACTAATTAATCAGAAATGGTCCATCGTCTCTCCACATTTGTAAATAGCTATGAAGAGGTATTCTACGTTTATGTATCCAAGTTATTAGGCACTATTTCCTTGTATGTCTGCCTGCCTGTGTGTGTGTGTGTGTCTGTGTGGTGAACAACAAATTGACAGAGGGGAAACTGTGATTTGCATCTGTGGCTCAGGTAGATGCAAAAGAGGACACAGGTGACTGTATGACTCAAAAACCAATGTGAGGATCCAGCCGAGCCTAAGGAGGAGATGTGTAGGTGGCCGTTATTGAGTAAATACATTGAGAGCTGCTGCGAGCTCCTCTCAGTAACCAGAGAGCAGCTGTAGACACACACCAATGCACACACAGCTATAGCTAGCTGTTACATTCAGGAGCAGACATCATTTTGGAAGTGTTAGGCCTATGCATGTGCCGTATGGTACCTTACATGCTATCTACTAGGGCTGTTGCGGTGACCTTATTACGGCCACACCGGCAGTCATGAGTCATGACATGACCGCAGTAAAATTCCACGTGACTGTTGAGTCCCAGTAATCTCCTTTTATGCACTCCGGACATGCTTTGGTAGTACCCAACTTGCTAACTACCATCAGGTCCTAATGGCCTGGTACTCAGGGGTCAATTGTCCCTCTAACTATTCTAACATCGATGCAAATGCAATCGAAAATCACATCAAACACTTATCAAAACAATTCAAATTATGATTGTGCCATTATACAATACATAGCCTACCGCATATTATGCATGGCAGAAAAACAGATTTAAGAGGTCTTTGGTACATAATTGGTCTAGCCTTTGAGTGTGGACTGTATTATTATGGATACTGGATGGACTGGTTACCTTATGCTACGCTCCAAAATGTCAATCCATGAGTCTGGGAGAGAACGTATAGCCAGCCCTAGGTGATGCTGTTGGTTCATTGATTGCGCAGTGCGGCTTACAGTTAGCCTACAATTAGTGAATTTGTATTTGATTTTGAATAGCCTAGTAATGCTGGCTAATGCTGATGATATCTGGAAATGTGCATGTACACCCTGGCCCATCTACTGTTGCTAGCCCCAATTCTGATATCTGCTTCACTGATTTCTGCTCTCGTAAAAGCCTGGGCTTTCTGCACGTTAACACAAGAAGCGTATTACCCAAAATTGATCAATTGAAAGTGTGGGTTCACAGCTCCAATCCAGATGTGTTGGTCATTACTGAGACGTGGTTAAGAAAGAGTGTTTTGAACACTGATGTTAACCTTTCTGGTTATAACCTTTTTCGGCAAGACAGATCTTCCAAAGGTGGTGGAGTAGCAATCTTTACCAAGGAACACCTTCAGTGCTCGGTTGTCTCCACCAAGTCTGTCCCCAAAAAATTTGATTTGCTGGTTTTAAGCATTAAACTTTCAAATAGCTCTTTGTTGACTGTTGCTGGATGTTATCGTCCACCATCAGCACCGGCCTGTACCCTACCTGCCCTAAGCTCTCTCCTGGCCCCTTACACTAAGTCTGAATTTGTCCTGCTAGGTGACCTAAACTGGGACATGCTTAAACCACCTGACCAAGTCCTAAAGCAATGGGACTCCCTAAATCTTTCTCAGATTATTACCAATCCCACAAGGTATGACTCCAAACACCCAGAAAAGGCTACTCTCCTTGATGTTATCCTCACAAATAATCCTGATAGGTATCAGTCTGGTGTTTTCTGTAATTACCTTAGTGATCACTGTTTTACAGCCTGTGTTCGTAATGGCTACTCAGTGAAAAGCCTTACTTCATGACCTGGCCTCTGTAAATTGGTATAGAATCAGCTTGATCCCTTCTGTCGAAGACGATTGGACCTTCTTTTTTGATATTTTCAGTGGTATTGTTAACAAGCACACCCCTATAAAGAAAATGAGAATTAAAAAACAGGTTCAGCCCCTGGTTCGACCGTGATCTGGCAGAGTTACTCCACCTCAAGAATTCCATTTGGCGAAAGGCTCGGCACACGCTTACTCAGGCTGACTGGCTCTCGTTCAGGCAAATGAGAAATACGTGCACTCAGGCTATCCGGAAGGCCAAAGTTAGTTACTTTAAGGAGCAGTTCTCTCTCTGTGGGTCTAACCCCAAGAAGTTCTGGAAAACAGTTAAAGACCAGGAGAATAAACCCTCCTCCACACAGCTGCCCATGTCCCTTAATGTTGATGATGTGGTTGTTACTGACAAAGAGCACATGGCTGAGCTCTTTAAATCACCACTTCATTAAGTCAGGATTCCTATTTGACTCAGCCATGCCTTCTTGCCCGTCCAACATTTCCTTATCTCCCAGTCCTTCTAATGCGACCAGCCCTGATGCTCCTCCCTCTTTTTCCCCTGCCCGCTACAAAGTTTCTCCCTGCGGTCACAGAGTCCGAGGTGCTAAAGGAGCTCCTTAAACTTGACTCCAAAAAAACATCTGGGTCAGATGGTTTAGACCCTTTCTTCTTTAAGGTTGCAGCCCCTATCATCGCCTAGCCTGTCTCTGACCTTTTTAACCTGTCTCTCCTCTCTGGGGAGGTTCCCATTGCTTGGAAGGCATCCTTTATTTAAAGGGGTAGATCAAGCTGATCCTGTTTATCAAAAGTGTTGGAAAAACTTGTCAATATTCAGCTGACTGGCTTTCTTGATGTCTATAGTATACTCTCTGGTATGTAATCTGGTTTCCGCTCAGGTTATGGATGTGTCACCGCAACCTTAAAGGTCCTAAATGATGTCACCATTACCCTTGATTTTAAGCAATGTTGAGCTGCTATTTTTATTGACTTGGCCAAAGCTTTTGATACGGTAGACCATTCCATCCTTGTCAGCTGGCTAAGAAGTATTGGTGTCTACTCCTGAGTGGCGCAGTGGTCTAAGGCACTGCATCGCAGTGCTAACTGTGCCACTAAAGATCCTGGTTCGAATCCAGGCTCTGTCGCAGCCGGCCGCGACCGGGAGACTCATGGGCGGCGCACAATTGGCCCAGCGTCGTCCAGGGTAGGGGAGGGAATGGCCGGCAGGGATGTAGCTCAGTTGATAGAGCATGGCGTTTGCAATGCCAGGGTTGTGGGTTCGATTTCCACGGGGGGCCAGTATAAAAAAAATAAAAAAATAAAAATATGTATTCACTAACTGTAAGTCGCTCTGGATAAGAGCGTCTGCTAAATGACTAAAATGTAAATGTAAATGTGTCTCTGAGGGGTCTTTGGCCTGGTTTGCTAACTACCGCTCTCAAAGAGTGCAGTGTATAAAGTCAGAACATCTGCTGTCTCAGCCACTGCCTGTCACCAAGGGAGTACCCCAAGGCTCAATCCTAGGCCCCACGCTCTTCTCAATTTACATCAACAATATAGCTCAGGCAGTAGGAAGCTCTCTCATCCATTTATATGCAGATGATACAGTCTTATACTCAGCTGGCCCCTCCCCGGATTTTGTGTTAAACGCTCTACAACAAAGCTTTCTTAGTGTCCAACAAGCTTTCTCTGCCCTTAACCTTGTTCTGAACATCTCCAAAACAAAGGTAATGTGGTTTGGTAAGAAGAATGCCCCTCTCCCCACCGGTGTGATTACTACCTCTGACGGTTTAGAGCTTGAGGTAGTTACCTCATACAAGTACTTGGGAGTATCGCTAGACGGTACACTGTCCTTCTCTAAGCACATATCAAAGCTGTAGGCTAAGGTTAAATCTAGACTTGGTTTCCTCTATCGTAATCGCTCCTCTTTCACCCCAGCTGCCAAACTAACCCTGATTCAGATGACCATCCTACCCATGCTAGATTACGGAGACGTAATTTATAGATTGGCAGGTAAGGGTGCTCTCGAGCGGCTAGATGTTCTTTATGCTCCTTATAGGACACATCACTGCGCTCTATACTCTGTAAACTGGTCATCTCTGTATACCCGTCGCAAGACCCACTGGTTGATGCTTATTTACAAAACCCTCTTAGGCCTCACTCCCCCCTATCTGAGATACCTACTGCAGCCCTCATCCACCACGTACACCCGTTCTGCCAGTCACATTCTGTTAAAGGTCCCCAAAGCACAACCATCCCTGGGTCGCTCCTCTTTCCAGTTCGCTGCAGCTAGCGACTGGAACGAGCTGCAAAAAACACTCAAACTGGACAGTTTTATCTCCATCTCTTCATTCAAAGACTCAATCATGGACACTCTTACTGACAGTTGTAGCTGCTTCGCGTGATGTATTGTTGTCTCTACCTTCTTGCCCTTTGTGCTGTTGTCTGTGCCCAATAATGTTTGTACCATGTCTTGTGCTGCTACCATGTTGTGCTGCTGCCATGTTGTGTTGCTACCATGTTGTTTTCATGTTGGGTTGCTACCTTGCTGTGTTGTCGTGTGTTGCTGCCATGCTATGTTGTTGTCTTAGGTCTCTCTTTATGTAGTGTTGTGTTGTCTCTCTTGTTGTGTTGTGTGTTTGGTCCTATATTTATTTGTGAAAAAGTGTTTGCCCCCTTCCTGATTTGTTATTTGTTTGTATGTTTGTCACACTTAAATGTTTCAGATCATCAAACAAATTTAAATATTAGTCAAAGATAACACAAGTAAACACAAAATGCAGTTTTGAAATGAAGGTTGTTATTATTAAGGGAAAACTAAATCCAAACCTACATGGCCCTGTGTGAAAAAGTGTTTGCCCCCCCTGTTATAACACAACTCAACTGTGGTTAATCACACCTGAGTTCAATTCCTCTAGCCACACCCAGGCCTGATTACTGCCACACCTGTTCTCAATCAAGGAATCACTTAAATAGGACCTGCCTGACAAAGTGAAGTAGACCAAAAAATCCTCAAAAGCTACACATCATGCCGAGATCCAAAGAAATTCAGGAACAAATGAGAAAGAAAGTAATTGAGATCCATCAGTCTGGAAAAGGTTATAAAGCCATTTCTAAAGCTTTGGGACTCCAGCGAACCACAGTGAGAGCCATTATCCACAAATGGCGAAAACATGGAACAGTGGTGAACCTTCCCAGGAGTGGCCAGCCGACCAAAATTACCCCAAGAGCGCAGCGACGACTCATCCAAGAGGTCACAAAAGACCCCACAACAACATCCAAAGAGCTGCAGGCCTCACTTGCCTCAGTTAAGGTCAGTGTTCATGACTCCACCATAAGAAAGAGACTGGGCAAAAATGGCCTGCATGGCAGAGTTCCAAGACGAAAACCACTGCTGAGCAAAAATAACATTAAGGCTCGTCTTATTTTTGCCAGAAAACATCTTGATGATCCCCAAGACCTTTGGGAAAATACTCTGTGGACTGACGAGACAAAAGTTGAACTTTTTGGAAGGTGTGTGTCCCATTACATCTGGCGTAAAAGTAACACCGCATTTCAGAAAAAGAACATCATACCAACAGTAAAATATGGTGGTGGTAGTGTGATGGTCTGGGCCTGTTTTGCTGCTTCAGGACCTGGAAGACTTGCTGTGATTAATGGAACCATGAATTCTGCTGTCTACCAAAAAATCCTGAAGGAGAATGTGGAGTGGCCTAGTCAAAGTCCTGACCTGAATCCTATTGAGATGCTGTGGCATGACCTTAAAAAGGCAGTTCATGCTCGAAAAACCCTCCAATGTGGCTGAATTACAACAATTCTGCAAAGATGAGTGGGCCAAAATTCCTCCACAGCACTGTAAAAGACTCATTGCAAGTTATCGCAAACGCTTGATTGCAGTTGTTGCTGCTACGGGTGGCCCAACCAGTTATTAGGTTGTAGGGGGCAATCACTTTTTCACACAGGGCCATGTGGGTTTGGATTTTGTCTTCCCTTAATAATAACAACCTTCATTTCAAAACTGCATTTTGTGCTTACTTGTGTTATCTTTGACTAATATTTAAATATGTTTGATCTGAAACATTTAAGTGTGACAAATAAATAAGAAATCAGGAAGGGGGCAAACACTTTTTCACACCACTGTATATATACTAATTTTTCAAATCCCAGCCCCCGTCCCCGCAGGAGGTCTTTTGCCTTTTGGCAGGCCTTCATTGTAAATAACAATTTGTTCTTAACTGACTTGCCTAGTTAAATAAAGGTTCAATAAAATGAAAATAACATAGGGAATGTTTTATATTTTCATAATTAAATTGGGTGACACATTACCTTTAGCTATACAGAATATCTCACTACCCTGCATTTCCATCTCCTCCTCTCGCTCCTTTATTCCTTTCTCGAGCGCGCAGACGGGCTGTCAACAGTTCAGTGAAATATGTTTAGTTGCTATTTTTACTATTGATGTTCCCTAACAGATTTAACTTGGTTTCCCAAATGAAGCACTGGGTAGCTACAGGAACAAGGTTGGAGAGCCCATGGCATCCAGCGTTTGGGCGTTATATCACTTGTCAGGCAGCGAGAACATGCTCCTCAAACAGTTGTTGATGTGTGTAGTTGTCACGCCCTGGCTCTGGGACTCTTATATGTTGAGCCAGGGTGTGTAGATTCTATGTGTTTGTGTTTCTATGTTAGGATCTAGTTCATGTGTATCTATGTTGGCCGGGGTGGTTCTCAATCAGAGGCAACGAGAATCAGCTGTTGCTTGTTGTCTCTGATTGGGAACCCTACTTAGGCAGCCTATTTGGCACAGTGTAATGTGGGATCTTGTTCCGTGTTGGTTTGTGTATGTACCCAAGGACTTCACGTATCGTTTTGTTGTTTTTGTTCGGGTGGTGAAATATAAATAAAAGATGTTCGCATTCCACGCTGCGCATTGGCCCGTTTCTTCAAATGACGATCGTGATAGAAGATACCACCTCGACTGGGTCAAGCAGCGTGAAGAGGAGAGAGGTTGGACTTGGGAGCAGAGGATGGAGAGTCTGGCGAGAGCCATGGAGGCCATATCCACGGGGGAGAGGCACCCCCAATACATTTTTTGGGGGGGGCACATGGCATGGGCGACGGGGCTGCTGGAGGCAGATAAAGGGCGAGTTGGTGGACGAGGAGAGAAGGCCACCGGGTTACGGGAGCCATTGGTGATTAGAGGGAGGGAAAGTGTAGAGGCACGGCGAGAGGTACTGAAGTGTGTTGCCAGTCCGGTCCGGCCCGTTCCTGATCCCCGTATAAGGCCAGTGGTGTGTGTTCCCAGTGCGGTCCGGCCTGTTCCTGTCCCTCGCACCAAGCCTGTGATGCGCGTCGCCAGCCCGGCCCGGCCGGTTCCTGCCCCTCGCACCAAGCCAATGGTGCGCGTCGTCAGCCCGGTCCGGCCTGTTCCTGTCCCTCGCACCAAGCCAAT